TGGCAAAGGTATGAATGAAGGTGAAAAGAAAGAGCCGCGTGCCAGTGGCTCCCGCCTATAACCCTAGCTACTCAGGAGGCTGAGATCTGAGGATTGTGGTTCAAAGGGAGCCTAGGCAGGAAAATCTGTGATACTCTTACCTCCAATTAACCACCAGAAAACTGGAAGTGGGGCTGTGGATCAAGTGGTAGAGCACTTACCTTGAGCTGAAGAGCTCAGGGACAATGCCCAGGCTCAAGAGTTCAAGCCCCATGACGGATAAAAGGGGTGTGGGGGGGTGGAGGGTGAGTAGGAGAAGGGAGATGTATGGTACTCAGCCTGTGTGTATCATGGGGCCACCAAAAGTCAAAGCCTCCATAGTGTCCCCTCCTGTCCTCTCGCCTAGTGTCATATCTAGTTAAATTCATACAGTCCTTTTTTTTTTTTATTGTGAAAATACTGTACAGAGGAGTTACAATTACATGGGCAAGATAATGAGTACATTTCTTACCAAGCATTGTAGCCTCCTCCTTTGTTTCCCCTTCCCATCCTTTCCCATCCTCCCCCTGCCCCCAGTCCTTTTTCTTAAAAAGGTAACAGCGCTCCTGTTGAAGTTGCAGTTAGAGGAAGGAGTGGGCAAGATTATTGTAAAGCCTTTGTTTTCCAGGCCTAGCCAAAGAGTATGCTTCATATTCAGGGTAGACTTTTTTTTTTCTCTCTCTCTGTTGTGGGGCTTGAACTCTGGGCCTGGGCTATACCTCAGTTCTTCAGTTCAAGGCTAGTGCTCTACCACTTGGAGCCACAGCACCACTTCTAGTATTCTGGTGGTTAATTAGAGATGAGTCTCATGGACTTTCCTGCCTGGGCTGGTTTTGAACTGTGATCCTCAGATCTCAGCCTCCTGAGTAGCTAGGATTACAGGCATGAGCCACCGACACTTGGCTGGTAGACTGTTTTTTGTTTTTGCCAGTCCTGGTACTTGAACTCAGGGCCTGGGCACTGTTCCCCAAGCTTCTTTTGCACCCTACCACTACCACTCTACCACTTGAGCCATGGCACCACTTCTGGCTTTTTCTGTTTTTGTGGTACTTGAACCCAGGGCTTGATGCATGCTAGGCAAGTACTCTACCACTGAGCCACATTTTAGCCCTGGTAGACTTTTCTGAGAGCTTGTTTGGAGGTTCTAATAGGGGAGTGCAGCTACTCATAACCTTGACCAAAGACCGGTCCTGTCTATCAGGGATGATTGTCCTCTTCAACCCAGCATGGGAGGGACACACATGGAGCAGTGAGGGAGGAAAGGAACACCTGCCTAGTCAGCCAGATCAGCTGAATCAACCCTGGCAATCATTGAGTGACAGATATTG